ATCCGTGAACTGTAGGCTTCCATTAGTATCGTTTCTTTGTTTTTCCCTTTTCTTTATGTACTTATGTCATTCGCGCTTAAATCTTGTTCTTTTTGTTTTAATCATTGTATTATCTGTCGAAATCTAAAGTTTATTTTGTTGCTATCGATCAGACTGGTCTCGATATCCTTTCTCTTCGCGTCGCATACCTGCGAAAGTGAAATAGTCCACCACACTCCCCAAGATTTTATACGGCACCAGATGACAGCTCCGCAGGAGTTCGCTTTTTGCTCTTTCTTAAGGCAGTCGAGGGCTAGAACGAATTAATTAGAACCAAGAACACAAGAACACGAACAGTGAGCCTTGCAGATTTCTTATCCGTAAAAATCATTGCAACCAAATCCGCGACAAAAAAAAAAAATGTGTTCTCTGGAGGAAACACATCTTTTCGACGACTAGAGATATATTAAAGCTAGTTAACCATTTGAGTGCCAGGATCTTTTTTTTTTTTTCACCACATTCCGAACGCAAGTTTTGGTCTCGGTAAGATTGTTGCAAGCCATGTGAAGAATATTTCATCATGAAGTACTCACCATTTTATGAACAAAACGTTTAGTGATATGCGCAAGCCTCTGACCTGTGACATATTTCTCGTATTGTGCCTTTCAAGACACCGTATGCAAGGAACGGCACATCGACCTCGTACACTGGTATCACTCTTTTGTGTCTGTTTTTTCGGAAATAAAACTTTCTTGTTTTTACAGTCATCGAATCCCGAGTCCATTAGTAATGGACAGTCTTGGGTAGTAACGCGTTACTAGTAATGCGTTATTGTAACTTCCTTACTTTTAGTAACTTTTAACTGTAACGAGCTACTTTTTCTTTAAATGTGAATTCCCGTTAAAGTAATAGAACTGTAGTTCTATTACTTTTTTCTGAGGTAACGATGAAAGTAAGGAAGTTACTTTTGTCGTTACTTTCTTTTTATTATGAGTAATATATCAATGAACGAGTGCAATCTAGCTATTCCTTGCACTTTAAAATTGTCTGTTCTGACATTTCGAGTGTAAAGTTGACCTTGCACAAACTTGTGAATACGTTCTCTCTCGCCAGTCACGACCCGAATATAACCATGTGTAGATTTGATGAAAACAAATCTAGTTCTCTTTACTCACGCGCTTGTACTTTGTGACTGAACACTTATATCTTACTATCTTGAAGCACTATCTATGTTGATGTTTTTTGGGGTTTTTTTTGCGCAAATGCTTTTTAATCGGGTGAATCAACTTTGAAACGACAATGCACGCGGAGGGCATTGGGCATGTTTCGTATTTTGATTTGCGTCACTACTCTGGCGTGGAAACTTTCAAACACTAAATACGAGGAGCAACTGCTGCTAAGTTACAATATGAAGTAAAAAGCGTACTTTTTTTAATTTTATGCAATAAAACTTGGTGAGGGGCGTTTCTATTTTTTTCTAATATTTTTGAGTAATAGAAAAGTAAATGAAAAGTAACGTCGTTACTTTTTAAGAGTACCTGTAAGTTAACGAGTTACTCTTTTGTTGCGGTAACTGTAACGGTAACTTCGCTACTTTTTTCTGAAAGTAACTGTAACTGTATCGAATTACTTTCTAAAAGTAACTTACCCAAGACTGGTAATGGACCGTTTTTCGAAATGCGTAGTGCGCATGCTCGCAATGCTCGACGCTCCTGGGTTCGAGATTGCGTGCTACCAGCATACATTCGCCATATTGTATTTTGTGCATGAACCACGTTTACCTCATTCTTTTCGGAGAAAAAAGTTCTTTTTCTCTTTTTTTTTTTTTTGCATGGGTTAATTTGTTTTGAACCAGGCGGCGATCAGACTTCTCAAAAGTTAACACAAGTTGACATAAGCAGGTATATTGACGAAAAGAAAAGGAGAAAGACTTTCGGTCGCTTTGGAAGAACGAACTTCGAAGCAACAACAACAAGAACCACAATGCCGTCGGCACTTGGTGAGCCTTTGTTTTGATTGAAAACTTTGTAATTCATTTTATGAAATTGAATAGTTTCCGGCCCTACGGTGCCGGTTATAACCCTCTATTGTAACACTGTTTTTGTTTTGTTTTGTTTTTTGTGTGTGAGGCGTTTTGCATGAGCTTGTGCTGTGAAAGCGTAAAGTTGGCATAAAAATACAGGATCGTCGCCCCCCCCCCCCCCCCCCCCTCTCCCAAAAAAAAAAAAAAAGTTTACAGTTTTTGTTTTCTGCAAACACTAATTTTGCATCACAAAATGCTCATTTTTTGCCCAAATGGATACCGCGCTCCGAACCAGATGCCAAGGTTTCACAACCAACTGCTATCCTAATTAAGTTTTATAAACGATTTCTGAAATTTTCAATGAGAGAATGGCGGCCGATAGACCTTTCACACAGTCTAAAAATAGCCCGCAATACACTCGGAGAGCCAATCACCGCAACTTATGAAGGCAGCTCAGCGAATGGCGATGCCGAAACATATGTTTGGAACAAAAAACGCAGTGTGAGTTGTGACATTAAGCAATGAATGTCACAACACAGAGTGCGTTTTTTTTTTTTTAAATATTTGTTTTGACATTGTCATTTGCTCAGCTGCCTCCGTAAGTTGCGGTGATTGGCTCTCCAAGTGTTGTGCGCGGTATGACGGCTCAAAGGTCCAGTCCGCCTTAAACACGAATCAGAGCTGCTCATCCTGACGATAATGTGACTATGTAGTAATGCTTTACCAGAAATTTTACTGTCTTTTACATTCAATCTATGTCTACGCTCAATAGAACCCACGTCTAAATTTAATAAAATCGCATCCTCTAGCTTGGACATTTTCATAGGTTTCTCAGTTTTTCGCAGGGACTTGGGGAGTCTTGTTGACAGTTGAAACTGTACTACATTATGTGGAAAATGTGCCCACTATTTGTAGTCACGTGAATTCGTACATTTGATGCTGTTCGTGTGTTGTGTTTCTTATTTTTAACTTCTGGTATGCGCCAATGTGAAGACCCGCGTGGTTCTTTTGGGGCACATAAATATAATAGTGTTTCAATTATTTTTTTATTGTTACATTGCCTTACTTGCCCAAATCTTTAAATAGTCATACATGGCATGTTTGTACGCGGATGCATACCTGAAATAGGGCGCGCAAACGCCGTTTTATCAAACAACAAGAAAAAAAAAAGATTGATGGCCATATTTTTATAGTGAACACGAAAGAGGTCACAAATTAAAAACATGGCAAAAACGGCTCCAACGGCCTTCAATTTCCTTTCTTTTTTTTTCTTTTTTTTTTTTTTTTTGTAGTCTGCACGCAGCCTTTCGAGTTCATTTATTTGACGGCATGCTGAACGCAAAAGAACACCAGAGCAGAGGCAGGCGACGTGCCGGATACTCCCGACAAATCATGAATTTAACGAAATATAACAACGATATGACCTTCTAAGAGTGAATTCGTAAATCACGTGTGCAGATGACGGACAAGTATAAAACATCAGAAATGCACGGTCGCCACTTTTTTTGCGCTATATTTAAGACTTCACATCTCCGAGTTGTGCTCTAATAAAATAGACACTACTTTTTGCTACACGACGTTTCTGCGTCAAATCTCAAATATGTACGTTTAAAATTCAAATTTCGTAAGGCGTGCCAAATGTGTTTGTTTTTAACACGTCACTAGCAAAAAAAAAAGTGTACCCAATTTGCTAAACCTCAATTTGACATATTAAATCCAATTTGGAACCTAATTTTGCTAAAACTCAATATCGAACCCAATATTTCTAACAAGCTGGAACTAAATTAACTTGGGAAGAGAGGCACTTACTTTATCGCCCACCAGCTAGCGGACATTTGCTATACTACGCGAGCAATAACGAATTTGTTTCCGTTAATCAGGCTGTAAATGTTGTCTCGTTCTGCTCGTCGGAGCGGCGTAAGTTTTTAGTTGGGCTTTTTCAAACATCAAATTTTCGCCAAGTTATACCTTTTAAACTTCAAATATGAACGAAGTTTTACTTGCCCGGGCTCGACAAGAAGTCAGTTGCCATTACTCAGCGGATGGCTGGCAGTTCAAAGCCCAGTTTATGGACAATAGACCCACTTCAATATTCAGTGACATCTGGAGGATCAAAAAGCAGTTTCACTTTCGACAAGCTAATGGTGGTCATGAAATTATACTTCGTGGGACACCGCAATTTTCGCACGTCAGTGGCAGATGAAAATTGGTGCTTCGATCACCTCGTAAAGGTCTCGCGACTTGTTTCAGTTTCGATGCTACGAGTGTAAGAACTTACCAGGACAAAGCGGCGACCTATATTAGCGCCAATATTAAATTTCCACCATCAAAAGACTTTAGAGCCAAACGTGTGCCAGGAGATTCATGGAACCACACACCAAAATAAGCGCTTACGCAGCCGTTGTATACAGTGCCTTAAGTAGGCCATACAGCACCTGGGGCCCTTTAAGTTCGCTCTGCCAAAGTGGAGGGAGCTGAGTGGAGCTTCGCGTCAGTTCTTAACCTTTCATTTACTATATAGATGTATTCCTTTTGGGCATAGGTTTCATACATGGCTTGCGCATAACGTCTTCGCACCATGCTGGGGCCCATTACCGTTTGTACTTCCTAAAACAAGCTAAGGAAAAAAATCAGTGGCGTGAAATGTGTATTGCTCAGGTCATAACAATGGCCACCGATGTTACGTCTTCCAAGCCGCGTAAAAAGCGATGCTGAGCTGTCAAAGCTGGACCGAACGATGCTTCCCAGAAAACAAGGGCGCAGTGCTGAGGTTTCGGCGTCGCCTAATGAAGGGTCAAAACGGGGCAGAGATTGAATACGAGCACTGCGCCAGAGTTCGACTGAAACTCGAGTTCTATCACTGAAAACACGCTTTGGTTTCCTTTGGATGAAGTCAAAAATGCAGGGCTGCGGCCTTGTCGTTGTCTAAGAGGCGTTGACCCGTGAAGCAGAAGTGGAGCGATCGCAAAAGCGTCGGCGAAACTGAAAAACAACTGACCTGAGTTAAAGATGTGATGCAATTCCTCCTGTTGGAATCGGTAAAGTACATAGTTCTCGGTATTTTTGATGTAATTTAGTGGAAGAAAAGTTGTCTTGTGCACCTCTCTCAGGGCTTCAGGCTTCATTGCGAGCTTATCTCCCATTTGAATGAAGACGGCTGTAGAGTGAACTGACGCTGTGCGAGGCTTCAGCAAGATCTGGCGAGGATGTCGTCACCGTGGCGTTTATGACGACGCGTGCGGCCACGTGATAAGAGTAGACTCGGTGTGGACAAGGAGCGAAAGCAGAAATGCGCTTGCTAAACAGAACAGCCTGCCCTCGAACGGCCGAAAAAGCGACGTTATCGTAGCGCACTCGTCGCCAGCTGCGCCCAAAAGCAGCAGGATGGATGCGCGTGTTTAGCAATTGTTAATCACCGGAAAGCTGGTTGCCATGCAACGCATTTCCTCTGCTCCATTTATTTTTTATTTACTTATTTGGATTCTATCCGGCATACCCAGGTATTAAGATAGGGACAAAATGAATTTCTGCCCTGACGGGGCCCCTACCCCCCATTCAGTGCAAAGTATACGACGAGAGAGAGTTAAAAAATGCGTCTTTCGCGCATTGTAACGCAAGGATGAGCTTGCCAATTCAAAGGGCGACATAGAGAACACGTACACTCTAAGAAATGCCTGCACGTCTACTTACCCGCAAAACACTCGAAGAGCCAATCTCAGCTATCTCAGGGTGTCTAGCCAATTATTATATCGAAATTAGCTGATTTTTCCAGGTTTTCCCTGACATTTTCAGGAGAAATTCCCTGACCACTGTAGAGGCGGTTAAATTTATAAGATCGTTACAACACAAGACATTGAGCATTGAGCACTGTGAGCATCATTTTTCACGGGCTTAACCCCACGTGCACATTCCGAAATATTTGGGTTCGTCCAGTCCGGATTAAACGAGCGCTTTCATGCCGCCGACATCGTCTGGGAAGACGCCCCTTCCGGAAACACAACGAAAACACGAGGCTCAACTGTAGTAAATGACGGCCACCCGTGAAAGTGAAAGGAGAGCAGAGCCTACGCGGGCCTGCGGAAAAGACGAGGGCCTTACATGACGAGGTGGTGACCGGCGGGGCCCGGAGGCGCCGGAAACGCCCCCCGGAAGAAAGAGGCGTCCGACACGGATGGTTGCTGGTAACGCACTCATTTATGTAACAGTCAAACAACATGGGCGTCAAGCGCCACGGGGAAGCAACCCTGAAAACACTGGCGCCAAAGTGGTACACTGTAAAAAATGTATGTAATATAACAGAAAATATCCAGTAAATTTCAGCAAAAATAAGAAAGCAGTTCTGTTAAGAGGGGGCGCACCTCAGAGCCCCATAGAGAATACAATACAGTACAATACAATAAAATTTTATTTTTCAAATTGAATTTCGCTCAACACCCAGATAAGCCGATGAGGCTTGTGCGTCGGACGCACAGGTCAAAACAGATTCCTTCAATTACGTAACACATTCTGTTTGAATGTATTACGCCCTAGACACTGTAACTCGTGCTATGAGTTAAATGAATATACATAGGAAGTTTGATTAGCACAGTCCATAACTTTAAAAAAATAACAATAGCAGGTGGAACTAACCCAATTTAGCAGTACAATCTACAGCTTTCCTCCGGTCCATTTCTACAAAAAAAAAAAAAAAAACTCTTGTTGCAATATATGCGTAGTCTGGGTCGAAGGAGAGGAGGTCATTTTTAATCAATCCCATATAAATTTTTTTTACTATGCATTAATTCATTGTCGTGTTAGTTTTTTAATGGCACAGGGATTTTTACATCCAATCAGATCATCGGGTATTTCGTTAAAAATTTTCGGTACATAGTACATTCTTGTAACCTCACCACATTTCGTGCTTATTAACGGTACAGAATATTTCTTGTTAGGATGCAGCGTTCTTTCCTTACTTATTTCTTTTTTATGACAACTTTTGAAAACATTTCTTGTTATTATATCATATTTCAACTGATCACTAAAGCATAGTAATCCCAATTCTTTCCACTTATACTCTGTATAGTTGCTTTCTCCAGTTCGGTAACAAATCTTTCTAAGTATCTTTTTTTGAAGAGTTTCTATTTTTGACTAGATATTGAGCACAGTGTCCATAAACCGTTATTCCATACATGAGGTTTTTCGCCAACTTAGAAAAATTCTCACATAATAACAGCTGCGCGGATCTTCTTGAAAATTTCGGCTTTAAAGACATTGAGGCATTATCGAGACATTAAGCGAAACAAATGTTTTATTATAAATTTAATTATATTCTTTAAAAAAATCATGAAAATGGTCAAAAGCGGCTAACTCGGCACTCTTGCGTTCGGAGAGAATTTACAAAATTATCTAAATGCAAACAGAAAAAAGTATTTCGTTTCATGTCATCTAAATTTATTACGGAATCGAATAATATCGAAATTATTCGTGTAAGTCGATCTGTTCCGTATTTCGTTTAATGCCTTTTAATTTTATTACGAAATCGAATAATATCGAAATTATTCATGTAAGTTGATCTGTTCCGTAACTACAGCAAATATAAAAAACAAGGTGTCGGTGCTTGTTTTCATTGTTTTTAAAGTACCTCTCTTTCCCGTGAGGTGGCGCTCGCTGTCTACGATATCCGAAATCGTCCGTTCGGAGATCGGCGGGATCGGCACAGTGCAAGGTGTTCTTCCGCGCCCGTATCCTGTTTCATTTTGCACGCCGAGGCGTCAGTGTGCGTGCCTCGCTTTCAGGGTTCTCGGTGGATAGGTCTCCGTGTTTTCGCACGTGGGAAATTCACCTTGGAGCTATGGGTCGAAGACAACTGTCCTGTGGCAAGCGGACCGCGAGGTGTTCCACAACCTCGCGGTCCGTCAATGCGTCGTGCTTGTTTGTACTTTTTTTTTTCCTTGAAAAAACTTTTTTTTTTACGCAGTTTTATTTTATTGTTATCTTTCACACAAACGTTCTTCGGCCTTGGGGTCGTGGAAATCGGGGATGAAACGTGCACAGAGTAGATCGTTCTTTGCCTCCTTTGTATTTTTCGCGGACGTCCTGTGACCTCCGTACGGTTCGTAGTCACCGCAATCTGACGCGGAGAAAAACGGGTCGCTTGCTCTGTAGTCAGGGCATTCCTAGGGGAAAGTGATAACTCGCTGTTCTTCTGGAAATTCGCATATTGCCCAAAACGGTGACATAGGTAATGATTAGTTTATGTTTTTTCTCCGGTGCTTATTCTTGAGCAAAATTCGGTGCATGTTTTTCTGTGCTTATTTTTTAAACACCAGTGTATTATGGTTGAACGTCTCGTGATGACGCTAAAAGCGTTGATAACCGAAGAAGAAAAATGCGATTGGACAAGAACATTTCAAATTTCCAATTCTATTCACATATCTCATACGCTCTTCTCGTGGGAGCATCTATCCCGACCAAAAATGCCTGTGAACGCATTAATCAGTGTACAATCATTTGGCCTAGGGAGCTATAGCGCACGCTCGAACGCGCTTCACAGCCTAAGTTGGTGGCACCCAGAAGGCGAGTTTTTGAATGGTCTGTAGCAGACTTGTACACGTTACTGAAAAATAGTAAGGAATTACATTTACAATTACTCAAGGCTAAATTGTAATTTATTACAATTACAATTACCCTCCCATAAAAGTAACTGACCGTTACCCCAAGAAGTAATCCGTTACTTTCGTGGCGTTACTTTTAACATTATTGTCCTCAAGTAAGAAATAAAGGAAAGAGGGTTATTCAAGTTCTTATAGTTGCAATCTGTTCCATTTAATGACCTTGAGAATTTTGAGCAACAGCTGGCTCTCGAAAGTCTCGTCAGACATTTTGCGTTATTTCTTACTCAATATGTCGACTGCTACGCTGAACACCATTTGAACTGAGGCACTGGATGGGAGTGCAATGTTGTTCCTCACGAATGCTTCATGCTCTGCATTGAGCTTTTTCAGCGAAGCATTGGAAGTACTATTTACCTCGAATGTAGAGCAAATCTTCGTCGTTGCAGCCGTTGCCCTTTATTCGAGAGATTTAGTAGATCGTTCCGATACGTCCGATACGCGCGATAACGGTACCCGATGACAATGTGATGCGTGCGCCAAGACGGCGGCGAAGTATCGGATATCGTTATCAGAGTCATCGGACCGATCTACTAAAATTCTCCATTGTCTAAATTGCGAAGCTGTGGAGGTCATCATAGATATAGCCAAGAGTAGAATAAGAATTGATTTATGTCCATCTTACTATACCGACATATACTGCCAGACAATAGCAAAACATACTTAACCCAGTAAAGTGATAATTAAATAATAAATGATCTCTGGCTTGATATTCTTCTTCCCTTGGTTCTGAACGGTCCGACGTTGGTGAATAAAAAAAGTTTTCAGTATATAAATATAAGTAATAAAAGAAAAAAAGAAGGACACTCATAACAAACGTCGGTTAAAACAAGGAAATGTAAACGCACGTTTGCCGTGTGTGCCATTCTTGGTGCCGTTCAAAAACGCACGGAGCACGAACCACTGCAGTTTACTCCGGTGTTCTCCGGATAGACATCCGCTGATGCCACGGGCAGCGAAGGGTAGAGTATAAGTAAGCCGCGCTATGGCCCCACTCACGAGTTTCACTCTCTCCCCAAACCCAGAATATCAAGTCTACGTCAGCCTCCATTATGTTTTATGTGTAAAAATATCTGCTTGAGATAAGATGCGTCCCGCTTGGGCAAAACAGGAAGAAGAAAAAAGGAAGACTATTACCATTTTCCAAGTGCTCGCAAAACGCTGACTCACAAAAAGGGTGACTGCGACGCAGATAACCTGGCTGGAATTCACAAACAAAGTGGGCCAACCATAAAACTTGGACTACAAAAAAGTAAGCAGCTTTTAAATCAGGGTCAAATAAGGTGAAAGATGCAAAAAAAACATCCTGTTTTCTGAGAGAAGATGATATGTGTGCAGCAACAAACGAAGGTGCTTGTGGCAATAACACCATCACATATTATAACATCTCTTTTAGTAGATTTTAGGGTAGACGAAACGTTGCCTCGTGTTGTGACATCATGAAAATGGTCGTAGTCACTATAACCGAGAAGGACATTGTTAATTATTTTCAGTGCATGCACTTACCACCTCGAGCTTCTCGAAGAGGCGCAGAATCACTTTGTGTCCTCCTCTCC